GGCCATGCCGGACCTCACTGCTGTTTAAAGGAACGTTGATGAGGCAAACGAAACTTAAAATATAAGTTTTAAAACGTTTCTTATACTATGTAAACCCCTACTAATGGTAAAAGAGAGAACAATATTTTTTAATACTCACTGAAAACTAGCATCTCTTGATGTCTGGAGTCCTGTCCTGCTAATGACGCAACGTGACATGTATACTTTCCGGACATTTCAATCGAAGGGTTGAGAATGTACAGGGCCCGGTAGCGAGAATATCTATCACCAGAGTTAGCAGTGTAGCTTAGATTCAGTCTTCCGTGCAGGAATTCAGCAACATGTCTTTTCTCCAGTTGTGGTATCCACTGATAAACTGGCTCAGAGTCGTCATTAAAAAACCACTTTACTACCAGTCGCAGGTCGTTCTCTGTGTACCGGTATTCACAGTCTAAGATCACATGATTTGTTCCATTAGGAACCCAGCGTGGAACGTCGAGACTAACAATTTTTACTGGGTTAGCACCTAAACAATGAATAAATATAGAACACACACATGAAGTTGTTTTACTGTACAAGTTTGTAAGTTCGTTTCAAATAAGTTTTATGTTTTCGGAATATCAACTTTAAAAAATCCTTTCGATTCTTCGAAATGAAAATGATATGGGTGATCCGTTCTTTGTAAATATATATTTGCTAAGTTAAGAGTGAGCGTAAGAATACAAAAAACAGACTGTTCTAAATATTGTGAGCTTCTCTAAAATTTGGCACTTAACGACATATTCTTTAAGGTGCATGGTATGTTAAAAATGTGATAAAAAACTATCTTGTGTACACTAATCTTAAAATGTGTGGAGTTGGATAAAACGTCGACATTTCGCAAAAAAAGAACAAAAAAAACTGTTCCTCTACTCGAAGTTATTTCTCAACATTTCTCCAAATGATCCTTAAGATTTATGTATAGTTTTAATAACCAAACAGCTCTTTTACTGTCAGCAATGAAACGTTCGAGATTATATAACCTTAAATTTTATTCCACTGGTATCGAGGCAACATTCACCTCTACTGGTGTAACATTACAATCTCGGATTAAAATTTAAGATTACACATTTCTCTTGTAGCTGACTAAAAGTTCGAGTTCATGTGACACGCTTGTGGGTGAACTTCTAAATTCCTTTGCAAGCACTCCGTATGTGAAGGTAGATTTCTGCTGCCCACACAGTCATGTTAAATTAAATAGATCCAGTTATCACTATGGTAAGGGCTACGTGTAAACACCTGAGGGTCACGTGAGTTCCTAAGCTGGGTATGTGATTACTTACGCAAACAAGTTTGTTTGTTTTAGAGCAAAGCCACGTTGTGCTATCTGCTCTGTCCACGGCGGAGAATACAAGTTAGTAAATACATGTGATTTTTATTTTACATATTGAGTTTTCTTTCTAAAATAATTGTGGACTTTTGTCACCAGATGAGAACTACTCAACTTTGTTGTTGTTGTTTTTTTTGTTAGATTGTTAGTAATTACAAAGATACACAATGGGTTCTCTGTGCTGTACCCACGCGGGTATCGATACCCGAATATTTAGCGTTATAAGCTCTCAGACTTACAGCTGAGCCAATGGAGGGCAGTCAACTTTTTTAACTTTGTTTAAAGTTAACTTAGAAAACACATAATCGAATATTATTATATCGAGAGAACATTATGTACGTCAAATAATGGGGAAAAAGCGACTTATAAAATGGTAAGTAATAAGTATATGTGGAAAACTACTTATATGGTTTTTTTTTAATTACAGCTCACCAGAGTATCCCAAAATTTATATTGACATAAAGCATATTTTGTGGTTTGAAAGTAATCAGATGATTTTTTTTTGTCTATCAAATAATTACTAATGAGTCTGTAAACACTGCTAAGCATATTTGTTTTTTATTATTATATTTCTCGAATTATATGTTATGAGGTTGTCAGTTAACGCCGCCTGGTGACGTAAAAACAAATATTATTTTAGAAGAAGACTTTGTGAAATATTCTTTCTAAAATGTCAAAGATAAGCTAAAAGTTGTAAACAGGATATTCAGTACTCATACTCAAATTTCAGATAACGTTTTTTGAAGCGCACAAAGCTATAATTGCCATATTGTTTGGTACCTTGCATGTTAGAAGGGATCCTAACAAACATTTAACAACCAAATTAATAATATAAATAATTATTTTAAACTTGCGAAATACATTAAACTCTGCTATTTGATGCCTTGGGTGCGCTATAAGAGTGACGTTGGTTCTTACATGAAACGAGCGATTTCGCAAACGAGGCGAGCGCATACATCTTCATCGTTTCTACAAAATTCGCTGATATTCTAAGAACTATAAGTAATGCATATTACTCAAATGCAAGTGTTTTTCAAAGCACTTGATCACAGATTATACAGAAACGCAAACAGAACTAGTCTCTTTTCCAACTACACGTGTTTCTACGAAATTTATTTTCAGTATTTACACGACGTTGTCGGTAAAATCAAAACTGTTTATACAAATGGAGAGAATATGCTATTTTCGTATTTAAACATAGACCTCTGATCTACACGTCAGTTGAAGGAAGACAAATACTAAGTATCCTGAGGATAGACTGGCAGATTTTACAGCAGTTTTTTTGACAGAGAAGGCTGAATATTAAAACTGAGAAGTAAAACAAAATGGTAGACTAAGACATCGATGTAAAATAAGAAAACACAGTGAAGGGAAAGCCGCATTTATTCAAAATGAGCAATAATATTTACGATATCTTAATGGGCCTAATTATAAGATATAAAATCAAATGCATTAGTTGAGAAGAATTGCAAATATAACTGGCAAGCGAGTGGCAACCATTTTACTTCATCACCGGTGATGCCTCAAATTTTCAACTAACAACAAACATTCACGGGATTTTTCGGTAACAGAACGTCTCAAAACAAAGAACATGTAAGTAATGTAATATGGTAATAAGAAAAATCTGTTTAAAATGATTCACTTAACGCTACTCGTAAATTTTAACTAAGAGTTAGTATTTCGCATTTTTTATCCTCCCGCGATGGAAAAAAAGTGTGATGCATTCATCTGCGTAAATCTCTTTAGTTATGAGCATCTTTCATAAGATATCTCAAACAATATTTCATATACGAGCTTTTCATGTTCAACTCACATTCCCAAGATTGCTTCTCTAGCTTCATAGATATCGAAGCTGTTAACTTCAAAGTGGTGACTTCATATAATGAATAACTTAGAGAGAACAAAAATAATAATAATAATCAAACAATAAATTAGTAGGTTCACGAGTTATATTTCTATAGTTCACCGACAAAGCTTTTACATTTAAATTGGCAAATAATCTTATGCCTAGAACTAAATTACGGGAGGGTTCTACTTTTGTAAATACAATCTCTCTCAGCTTCTTTTTTATTAAATTTAAATCAGATTTAAAATGTACGCAAAATTTTTGGAAAGTAATCGAAATGCAGAGTTTTAGGTTGTATTTTAAAAGTCTAGTCTGAAAACAAAATATCTTACTACACTATAACTATAACAAACTATAATACAGTAATTTATTTAATGTAATGAAAATTTAAACTATTAAACAAAGTAAAGTTAAAATCACATTTTTGCTGTGAATTATATGCATGGAACTTCCTCTGTAAAAATGTTTATCCAACATGACAGAAAAACATTACAAATGAACTGTCAGAGAGTGTTCCTCATTCTATAGTAGGAAACCTAAACCCACTTTATATAATTCATACAAGTTCTATCTACGGTTCAGAACTCACAATGAACCACCCTTAAAAATATTTTCAAGCCTACGGTTGTGTTATCTCGGGTGTTATTCTTAAACTTACTTGGCAGCCATCGAAATTAAAATGAGTTTAGCTAATTATACAGGACATAAAAAAGACAGAAACTTTTTAGTTCCTGCTTTCAATACTCGTACAATGAAAATTTACAAAATCCAAATATATTTCTAAGTTCCTGGGTAATGAACTTCTGCAATATATTATGTAAAATTGGTTCTATCCTAAGCACCACTCAGTGATAGCTTAAAATGTGAAAATTTCTAATAGGTTGGTTATTCGGCATTTTAATTTCGTTATCAGATGACAGTAAAAATAAATAGTTAACTCTAATAACCCAGTCCTTGCTCATGGCTTTGTTGGAGACTGTCTCTGCAAAATCAGCCTATTTCCCCTTCTACTTTTGTCCGCAAGTGGCCTACTGGTTAACATGCTGGACTGCAAACCGATAGGTCCAAGGTTTCTGCCGCAATGTTGGTAAACACTTTTCATATCTTTAGTTCTATGTGTATTATAAGAGTTGAAACACATATCCGTTCAAGTTCAGACAAAGCTCTTGTGGCGGCGGATGTTATTGACTGACTATCTTTCATCTGGTCAGTAGCTTAAAATTAGAGATTACGATAGTATCTGGACCATATAGGTCTCTGACTTGGCTTTCTAGCAGATGGTTCGTTTGACGTGTCATTCAGGCTGAAAACATGTAAATGCGTTTGCTAAGTTGAGCACAACTAGTTGTCTTAGAATAACAAAGTTCCATGTCATGTGTTAGAGTGAACACAGAATAACTCAGTAAGAAGGAAGAAGATTACTTATAAAGAAGAAAGAGACGGAATTTGAAAAGAAGAACAAGAAGAACGAGGTAGAAATTTATAGAAGACCAAGAAAGAGAGACGGAAAATTAAAATAAGATCAAGAGGTGAGAGAAAGAGACGTGTGATTTCAAGAAGAATATAAAGAAAAAATACATTTACCTGAGAAGAAGATCGAAGTAGCTATTGGTTTGTTTTCTTTTGTTACGGATTTCGCGCAAAGCTACACGAGGGCTATCTGCGCTAACCGTCCCTAATTTAGCAGTGTAAGACTAGAGGGAAGGCAACTAGTCCTCACCACCCACCGCCAACTCTTGGGCTACTCTTTTACCAACGAATAGTGGGATTGACCGTCACATTATAACGCTCCCACGGCTGAAAGGGCGAACATGTTTGGTGTGACGGGGATTCGAACCCGCGACCTACAGATTGCGAGACGTGCGCCGTAACCACCTAGCCATGCCGGGCCAGAGTAGCTATTGGAGATATTCAGAAGGATTATAGCAGAAAAATTCAAATAGTATTATAAAAAGAGATAGAGAGATCTACAACGTGCCAAAAGACTGTAATGACAAAATTGAATAAGTACAAAAACGCATTATGAAATACAAAAAGATTACAACAACAAAATTAAGTTCCTTAAAAAGAACATCAATAACAGAATAAAACATCTTGAAAATTAATTTGTATATGGGAACCAAACGAGCCACACCTCTTTCAGCATCTGCCCGAGAATTTCATCCCAAAATACATATGGAATATGGAACAGAAAAATCCATCTGTTCTGTACCTGTTACCACGAATGCTATGCCAACTATATCTGTAGGACCTTCCTGTACTACTTTAACTATATCATGCATCATCAAGTTCCGAAATTTAACTGGCCTGTTTAACAACGTTGCTGAGTTAAGAAACTAACAAATTATGACAGGAAAATACCGTGGAAAGCAAACCAGGCTCAGTTCAAAATAATTTATAAAATGAGTAAATGGTATAGTGAATAACAATCATTTTGTGTCCCTGCCCATTTAAAAGGACTAGCTTCAATAACACTGAATAGTCTTTCAGACGAGAGCCGTAACAACTAGTTAGCATTGGTAGCTGCCTTATCAAATAGGTCTGGAATGACACACCAAAAAAAAAAACTTCCAAACTAAAGTTCAGGAGCAGAAATCGGAGGAAAAATGAGACCTTAGTCAAACTCGCGAAAGATGTAGAAAGGCTTACCCTATTTTCTTATCTTGATGACCTGCGATCAATTCATAAATGTCGTGACAGTTGGGAATATGCGAATTAGGTTAAAGCAAAATAAACTTTCACCGTTAAAGAAAGATGTCCATTTAGCAATTGAATTGTGAAAGTCCCAGGTAAACAGCTAAATTCATCCTCCGAGAATTAGGGCCTTTTCAAATCAAATAGTAAAGTTCTCTCTGGTGAAGGTCTAAAAAAGCTCAAGTGATTCACAAGACAACTGGTAACTCAGAATAAAATAACTAAGCCATATGACAGAAGGTGTTTCCATTGAAACTTGCCATTGGACATTGCCATGAACTGCAGGTAAAATCCCTTAGTTAATGAATTGTTTACTCAAGATGGAGAAAATAAACCACAGACAGGAGTATGAAAAAAACATATCGCCAGAAACCGCTTCCAAAAGATGACAGGAGAAGAAAACTGCAAATGCTTGAAAAACGTGGTTATTACATTCAAGACTGTGATCAATCAGTCCTTGGTATTAAAGCTGGAAGATGATATCCACTCTAACAGGAAAAATAGAATGTATTATTTAAAGAAATCAATCCACATGCCAACGGGTTTATTGATGAGAAAACTTACAGTGTGTTGATCAACACTGGTTCTACAGCTACAATTGTTTGAACTGATTTAGGAATGAAAAGGGAGGAAATACTTCCAGAGATGAAGCAAGAAGATGGATGGATGCGATAATAAAATGATCATGATCATAAAATTCCACCAAGAGAGAAAATGGAAGTCACTCTTGCCGTGGGTAACTTCTGTAGACAACATAATGTGTAGATAATTGACATCGAGGGAAAGTACATATTGGAAACATTGATGGGAAGTTACACTAGCTTCAAAAAACTTCATAGTCTAAGGATTGGAAATTATCATGCCTTATAAAGCAGTTACACCACCAGAGGTTGGACTTCAATATATATATAATCAAGTGAATCAATCAGAGAGATAGTTAGTGAGTCAATCAGTTAGTAAGTTAACGTTACCGATCGATTACAGAATTAGCAAGTGTGTAAGTCAGCCCGTTTGAGTTGTGTCATAGATACGAGAAGAAATTTAAAAGTAAGTGACTTTTTAGTTTTCTTTTTTTGTTTATCGTTTTTAGTGAAAATCTACACAATAAGATATCTGCGCTTTGTTCATCGTAAGGACTTGAACACTTGATTTTGTAAGTTCGTAAACTTATTACTGACCCACCAGAGGGACGGTTTCGTTTGTGGGTTAAGCTTACCAAATAATTTAGCCTGTAGAGCTTGTACGTTCCAGTCGAAAAAAAACAAATCGCTTCCGCTATTGTTAAATTTTCTGGATTTGCATTATTCTAACGGAATAATAAAAAAGAACTCACCCTACAATAGAAACCGTTAGAACATTACGGTTGAGATATTTATAGATCACAATAATTTAATGATGGTTTTTAAGAACTAATAATATAAATAATAAGTAAAACATTTCGACAAAAAATAAGCAAATGGATCCAAGTATCACGAGTCCTTCCTGTTTTATACAAAGGTCGAGATTTATCACTATGCATAACGAGGATATTTCACAGAGAGTTTAGGGATTTTGCAACATTTCGTAGTATAACGTTTTTGTTGTTGTTGTAGTTTTTTCTGGTGTTTGTATGAGAACTGGACTTTTTTTATAAATAGTTTTATAGAAAAGTGTTCTTGGTTAAGCTTCCTCCACTCCAATGTAACATATAATGCAATTTTCTTCGCCAAAAGAAAAGAATACGAAAAAAAAATATTGGATACTGAATAATACGATTTCTTAACTGTCTTATCATTTGAAAGTCAATTTCTACCCACATAGCTTAGAAAGTTCTGAAATCGATCATCGTGGCTGAAAAATGGGCAACTCCTACAAAACGGCTGATGACTTTGTCGGCTAAGCGAGAATGTTTTCTGATTAATGTGCAAATGTCCACTTCAAAAGGAAGGTTAATGGACCCTGCTGATTACTCGGAGTTCATTCAAATCATCCTGATCAAAAACATCTGGCCTTCTTTAAATGAATGTTGTCACGGAAATGTATATTTCCTGTCCTCAAACCTTTGGCGTAAAACGAAATTTTCAATCCACAGTTTTCCTTTTCTTTTTTAAGCACACTTTTCTTGTTCAGCCGAAATTAGATATAGAAAAACAAGAAATGCTCTATAAAATTTATATTCTCATCAAGAAATTATAAACATTAAAAATTATGCTCTTTATTACTAAATAGTTTATTATAAATTATAACGCATTTTCATTGTAACAACTGTCACTATGTTGTTTTCTGTAGATTTCTAGCGAATATGTTGCAAAATAACTAATTAATTAACTTTATTCTCAACACCATACGTCTTTCATGAATAATACCATTAGGTATTTTACGGTTACTACGTACTATATACAAGCTTCATGTAGAAATTTCCATTTTCATTTTGGACATTAAACCTTTGTGATTAATGTAATAATGTTTGTCGTTACAGTTAGAGAGAGTACTTTGCGTCGTTTAAAGAAAGTTATTAAAGATATATTTTCATTTCCTATGAAATACTTAAAGAGACATGCAAAGTTTAGACTAAAATGTAATTATGAATAGTCAGCTTTATGTATAAACTCATTTACTTCCATAAGTCAAATTTAAATGACGAAAAAGTTTATTATACTATCACATATTAAAATGAATTATTAAGCTTTGTTTGCATGCATATGAAAAGACAAATAGATGAAAATAAAAGTAAACTTTGCTGTAATATGATGTACAACAGGTTCCAAAAATAATAGAACGGAAAGAAACTTATAGACTGATTACAGTATATAATGATTGTACGTCTTTGTTCGTTTCTTTTTCATTCACACAGAAGAAAATTAAATATTCAAATACTTAACATGAGAGGAAAATATACAAATTTTCAGTCTAGTCGATATTATAATCTATACTATCTCATGTAGGTGCATTAATTGTGAAAATCATATTTGTGTCGCGTGGTAAATCCATCAAGCTAAAAAAAAACATATCATTCGTCGTAGTTTTTCTTTTTTGTTCTTTTGTACATACAAAAACTAAAGCTGACGGATCATGTGACGATTTTGGAATCCCTGCACCTAAATGAATTCCGTTCGACAAATTCCGTGAGCTATTTGAATCGATAAACCTCGTGTTAAAATGAAATGTTTTTAAACTGTTCGAAAAATATAAAACTATATTTTTATTCTAATATAACTAATATCAATAGATCAATCCTAAAAATGTGCCTTGAGAATATTCGCACACATTCCTAGTCTATTGAAGTTCAGTACGCGGTAAAATATTAAAGAGTCCTTTCCTTATTTTTATCTTATATTTTATTTTGTAATTCTTCGTTTCACAGAAGAAATTATTTTTGCTAGTAATTTCGAGCTGTGATAAATATAAACAAAATCCTTGGAAATGAATATACTCTTCAAAATTTACATACTGAAACTTCCAAAGAGACGTTTAAATCTTACCTTTTAAAAGAGAAATAATCCTTGAAAGTAAAAGGATTGTTTTATAAAAAGATAAAACTGGAAGGTTTCGCATTGCCATTGTAGAAGAAGTTATTAAAGCAACAATGTTTACATCGATATTCTGTTTATATGAGAAATAACTGCTAAGCCAATATGTCTAGAAGTTAAGATATTACACACTCTTCAGTTCGTATTTTCCGTCGTCAAAAACCGCAAATTCCGGCAACACGCACGCTCGAAAGCTCAGCTTTAAGCCCTTCTGTAAGCTCGTGTGTTGCTGAGAAATGTATATATATCCTCGTGATTCTGTGCACGAGCAAAAGCGGGTGAGTTCACTCTACCTTAGCTGACGTCAATAGTTGAAATACGTCACAACTAAATTTAAATACTTATAGAATATAGACTATTGCTTTCCGTAACCTAACTTAGTAGCCCTGTGTAATAATTGGAAAAGTATTAACTTCGGGGAGATGTAACCCCATGAAACATGTTAACAGTAACAGTATAAAAGACATCATGGCAACATGTGTAACATGAAGTTTATTGTTATCGCATTAGCAATTGTTGCGTAATGTTTCTTGCTAGAATTACATGTTTGGTGCAGCTGATAGAGATATGTGCTGCGCCTGAAAGAAAGCATTCTCTGTATTGAATAGAAGTAAAACAAATATATTACAAGTTATTAAATAGACTGTCCAAAAATTACTTGAACAAACACTAAAATAAATAACAATTGTTAATATAACTTGCAGATACCGTGTGTGTTTGGTTATTTCTGTTAAACATCTCTGTTAATACAATTTGTGGACACTAGAATATATGAATCAATCGTTAAGGTTCCTCGGAGAACGAAACTGTCAAACGACGTTATCTATTCTATATAGGCGTAGAATTAAGTGTGATTACCCTGGGTACTCATGTACTTGCTGAAGTAAAAACAATTATCTACCCTATATACGTGCGGAATTAAGTATGATTGGATACATTGTATATGAGCAGAACTAAATATCATAACGTGCTCTGCAAAAGTCCATTACTTACAATTATCAAGCCTTAAAGTTATTGAATCATTTTCCTTGGAAACATAATTGGCAATGTTCCAGAAAAACTTGTGACTAGAAGGTTTGCCTATCAGATTGAACCACTTCCACCGTTATCGTCAGATGATTATTTCAATGGAAGAGGAATCCAGTTTGTTTGCTTGTTAGTGGAAACAAAGCTACTCGAGGGCTATCTGCACTAGCCGTCCCTAATTATGAACTGATAGGCTAAAAGAAAGACAGCTAGTCAACAATACTCACCGCCAACTCTTTTGCTACTCTTTTACCAATGAATGGTAAGATTGACAGTCACATTATAACGCACCCAAGGTTGAAAGGGCAAGCATGTTCAGTGACGGGATTCGAATCCGCGATTCGCAGATTACGAGTTGATTATCTTAAGCAGCAGGCTATGCCAGGCGAAGAAACTGGATCAACACTGCTGAATTCACAGCTTATAAATGGGAAAGCTGTGAAACCGCTCAGAACACCTTGGCAGTAGATTTGGATATGGAAGGTGTACTTATAATAGAGTTAAGATGCTCATTTTTGCTTCAGAAGTTTCACATTCAGCATCAGTGTAACATGTGTAAGGTGGATCGCAGCTGCACTAACTACCAGCAGATGCGTCATGAAGCAATGAAACAGGTAATTTGACTTTATCACCATCAACATTGGTCTGTCTCAAAGTTCATCACTCTCACCAGTCTTTTTCAACATTTACACCATCGATCTGGCCTGCCTTGAGTCCACCTAGTTGCTGCATGCTAAGCTTTGTTGGCGACATTCTGGTGTACAGCAGAGGTTTTATCAAAGCTGAATTCCGAAGCAAGATACAACCATTCCTTAGCAGAGTGAGCACAAATTTTGTGATGACACAGAAATGATTATTAATCCTGCTAAAGCTACAGTCATGTTATGCACATTCAACAACAGACATGCTGATGATAACAAACTATCATCATCATTTGTGAGTACTGCTATCCTTCTAGAAGAGACACTGAAGAACCTGGAGGTAGCTTTTCAGATAACCCAACTTCAAAACTCACATTAAGTAACCAGAACAACCAAAGAAATCAATGGACTAAAGGTTGCAGCAGGAAATAGAGCTGAAAATGTCATCTGGGTATACTCTACCAAATTTTTATCTGCTATATCCAGGTTAAAGAACTACCGACAATCAGTGTGAGTGCTATACAGCTAGATAGGACTGAAAAGATATGAAAATGTGTTGTAAGACTGGTCACGGAATATAATTCAACCACCACTTTCAAAGCCTCAGTAGCGTCACAGAGCATCAACAGCACTTACAATCAAAATTATTCTCTAGGTCCTTGCAATGAGAAGACATGCATTCCATCATTGAGTTACTGTCCTTTTCAAATGGGACATTCCAGCTCCATAGCAAACACCAACCAAGTAAAAAATTGCCTAAAATGCACCTCAAGCAACAGTAATGGAGTGGAAAATGCTATATATATTCACCACCGAGATAATTCATTACTACCATATGGAATAAACATCTAGCGCCACTTGGATCAGTGTAAGTCGTCCTTGGCAGAAAATATTGACACTGGGAAGAGGGTGAAGCAGAAACAACCTGTCACCACCTATTTAAAGACGATGGTGGAGACTCACCTATAATCATAGCCACAGCCTGTTCCTATACAACAGATATAAACATATCTAGTTGGATATTCAATGCCTCGCAAAACAGCAATATTCTGTATAGGGTAGCTGGATCATTCTAGCATTCCATAAGCAGCACTAGAATGGAGCTGGAAGCCATAAAGCCAGCTCTCTTTTGGGTTACTGAAAGCAATGAACAGCAAATATATAGTGCCACCAACATCATACTTATAATTGATTAGCAGGGATTATTGGTGTAAAAAAAACAATATCACGTGTAACAGTTAAAAAGGTAGTGAAAATATCACAGCAAATAAAAACACCTTAACAGAGATTTGAAATGAATACTCTCTTCAGCCTCACGTTGCTTTCTGCTGAAAAACTGACCAATAACACTTATATGATCCAGTGAAGAATTCCCTTAAGAACACATGTAGGATATGTTGAAATTTGGCAAGCTTTTAGTTAAGCAGCTTTTGATTATTATTCTTTTTATGTAGTTATTTGTTTGTATAATATTTCAGGTGTGATTCTATTTGAAATTTGGCTAACGGTGTTTGGATATGATTCTAAGATTATTCTTCTATAATATTTTCTTAAGGGGGCTCAGTTTGTATGTTGTAGCCAATATAAAAGAGTTTCATAATATCGTTAATAGGTCTTTCTCTGTCTTCTTAGGAAAATATTGTTTTTTTTATCTTAGATACTAATATTTATATAATGTTATGGTTAATGGAGTTTTTAAAAATTAAGAGGTGTTTTTAAGTTCACTGTAAAAGTTCTAAAAAATGATGAGATATTAGATATACTAACTTGTTTCTGATGGCATGAAAACAAGATAAAAATTTCGTAGGTTCCAGATATATACAGAGAGGACAAATTCCATGTTTGTTTTCGTTATCAAAATATCCAAGAAGAAACATTTGTTATCTTTTCCCCATTCAACTTTAAGTAGGATAGTGGGTATAAAGTGATTAAGGTTGTCGAAAAAGTTTTAAAAATTACTTCTTTGTTTAGACCACACAGAAAACATATTATCAACATATCACAGCCAGGAAATTTCTGAAGAGTTTATATTTATGAAAGAAAGTAATTCAGTTTCGAAATATTCCATGAAAATGTCGTGCACAGTATTGGAGAAAGTTGGTTTTCCATAGCCATTCCGTATTTTTGTCTACAGTATTGACCAAGACATTTTTTATGGTTTATTACTATGCATTTGATTGGCTTTTTGCCATCCATATGGGACCTAACCACTCCAAAACACTCTGAATTTTGCGCAGTACTAACGAAAAAAACACACAGAGATAATGGAACAAACTGGTATAAGGCTTGAAATGACAGAAAATACTTTCGACACATTATTGTGTCATCTAAGTTGTCTCCTAGAATGAAAACTAGCTAACAACACCTATGTGACTCCGAAACTAGGAAGTCCTCTCAGAACACAAGAGATCAGGAAGCTGTTTAGCTTGAAGTGACCTGGAGAGAACTTAACACATCGTTTCCTGATCCTCACTGGCGCTTTTATCTATTTTATCTTGTAAACTATAGTATGTTTACACAGCTTTGAATTATCACAAAAAATAATAAACTTAACTTTCAATAAAAAGGTGCACTCTGCTAACTTTGATTTAGTCTTTGTATACCAGCATAACAAGAGACTTTAAGTTTGCGCACAGAACTATTGTACCATAATGATAGTGATCAAATGAGTTTTCAAAACATGAGTTTCAAGAGTTCGTGAATTATGTTACTAAGGAACCTCAAGTGGAGGTGTTGCTACAGGGTCAAGATTAGTCCCATCACTTTCAAATATGTTTCTTCGTCATCGTGAAAATAAATAGCTTGAGGAACGTCTTTAACAGTTCAAGCTAATATATTATAAAATATATGTACTTTCACCATCTTTGGAGAGGCTTAACATGTTGATCATCAATATAATCACAAACTTCCTTTCTTAGATTTACTTTTTCATAACAATGATGGAAAATATGAAAATGAAATTTTCCACAAAAAACATTCAAGGAACTGTATATATTAACTTTGAATGTTTTAGAGCATTCCCTTTCAAGAAAAATCTGATTAAAATACTGGTTCGTCAAACATATGAATTAACCAGTAAATATTATTTTTTTCATAAATATAAAATACTAAGAACTTCCTAATAAAAAATATTTTACCAATAAATATTATAAATCAAGTTATTTAAGAATATTTAAATAAGAGGGTCCTTTCAACATCTTCCACATGGGAAATAGTGAAACAAAAAATTAATTTTGTGTTATCATATATGAAAAGCAAACGATATAGATTAAAAATCAGTTAAGAAAAACAATCCATCGCAATTATCCGCAGGTGGAACTGAGATTTGTGTTTAAACCAGTGTGTGAAATGGAACAAATAATTTTTTTAAATATTAATATTAAATATCCATTTAACAATCATCAAATGTCGTATATCAACATAGGTGTCTTAAGTGTAATTTAGATTATATAGGTTCTACCACTAGAGTGCTATACACACGTATATAAGAATATGTAAATTT